TGATTTATTGACTGATACTTTGAATTGTGCTTAAAACTTACTGGCAACAAATGGAGCACCTGCAATATTCAGTACGTTTTCTGGTGAATGATTCTTGCTCATCAGCAAGTAGCTGCATTTAGAATCAGTTGCATTTACTGGAGTTTTTAAACTCCATCCCAAGTGGAACACATTATTGTTTCCTCCTTGGCAGCTGAAAAAAAAGAGGAGGGAGAGGAACCAACCCTTAGGAAGCTGACCTCATACTATTGGGATTACTGTCAACTTGTCAAATTTGAAAATTTCAACAGAGTCCCATATGCAAGATGTTGGTCCATGTTTCTTACTAGTGTCTGCCTATGAGGTGTCTAGTTCTAAGTGAATATGAACAAATTTATCCATATCAACAAATGTATCCACAAAACCTCTTGTTAACTTGCTCATATTGTATAAACTTGTATAAAGACTGCATAAAGTTGCTGTTCATTCCCCATCAATGACTGGGTCACCTTAAATAGTGTCACAGAGAGAAACTATTTGGCCAATTCTACTAGCACCTTTGCCTTTTTAGTGTTCCAGAGATCAGCCACATATACCTAGAATTGCTCATCAGATTAGAAATTCCACAAGCATGATTGGAAACTAATTTGATCCAAAACATGCCCAGAGCTGAGCATCCTAATCAATTTTCCCCTTGTGAAGTTCAGAAACTTCAGTAGCACTAATCACCATCAACTGTCCAAATTCAATCAAGAGCTTAAAAACAAATCCTGTCAGGGAGAATTAACAATAACAACAATCATAATAATACAGTATAATAAAGTTGGAAGGGACCTTGGAGGTCATCTAGTCCAGAGGTCCCCAACTTTTTGGGCACCAGGTTCCATGGAGAGAGGTTTTTCTGCGGACTGGAGATGTGTGGTTTTGTGTGCTGCCTGCATATCGTGGATGGGGCTTTGCTTGTTTGTGCGGACTGGTTGCTGGCATGTGGTGGTCCGGTACTGGTCCACGGACCAAGGGTTGGGGACCCCTGATCTAGTCCAATCCTCTGCTCAGGCAGGAAACCCTATACCATTGCAGACAAATGGCTGTCTAGTCTCTTCTTAAAAACTCCCAGTGTTGGAGCATTCACAACTTCTGGAGACAGGTTGTTCCACTGATTAATTGTTCTAACTGTCAGGAAATTTTTCCTCAGTTCTAGATTGCTTCTCTCTTTGATTAGTTTTCATCCATTCATTTGGACATCTGAATATGACATTTTGCATTTATCCAGGCAAGCACTACTTTGGAACAAGCTCAGTAGAAAATGATGGTCTTTTGATCTGTTATCAAGGGTTGTTAGAAAGCATACAAAATTCAATCATGTTTATGTCACTACTAGATGACACGGTTATAACACTGTTATAACCCTGGAAGCATCAAACAGGCTCAAGTCAACTCTTCAAACATTCTTCTGTTATAATGTCCCAAAGAGCTTTTTCATAGTTATCTCTGCAAGAATAACAAGGATTATTCTTACAGTAGATTTCCTTAAGCACAAAGAATCCTGTAAGTTGGCACATAAAAGCTACCAACTCCCAAATCAGAAGGGTGATCATGGATAAACTGTAACAACTACTTTCTCCTGAACAGCTGCATTCTAAAATGGTAAGATAGAGCATATATTGGTGTGGGATTACATTACACATTAGAATTTATAAGTTGGTTTTTTTGTATTTGAATTTATTAGCCGCCCAACTTACATGGACCTTGATATATATATATATAGCTTGCTAATTGCTATATTGTGCGTTATTTCCTTATTTTACTTTGTTCAACTATTTTTATGAATCTATTTATGTTCTCTAATGAACTTTATCTCATGATTTTTTTTCTGTGTACATGCACTAATCTATTCATTGTTCACCAAAATAGGTAGAAACCAAGGTTCATTAACTTGTTCATCATATGTCAACTGCTACCCTGCAACATCCTGTCTACTATGTAACTTGTCGCTTTGGATAGCACGATGGGTGGTATATAAATTTAATAACTAAATAAAAAATTAAAAAAATCCATAGAATACCATGGTAATCATTAAAAGGGGGGGGCTCAGAAGAGATGTATTATTAGAGCTTAACCTATTGTATCCTGAATGTAGCCACTAGATGCCAGATTCTTTTAGCCTTACTAAAATACTAAAAATATTAAAAATTTGTCAGAGACCCAGCTTTTAATAAACTCCTGAGTTATCGATCAGTCTGTTATTTGCACTGTTTCCATATGTCTACTAAACAGAAGATACTGTCCCATGGGCTCTATACTACAAAATGAAAAAATAATGACAAAATAATACAAAAGAAATCCTTAAGTGGTGCCCATACAAACTGGATGCTATTTTGAATAAATCAGTGCAATCATGTGTTTAATTTTTATTCAAGTGTATTAAAAGATGGAATGAAAGACCATAAGCGGTATAAATTTCAGGTTCCTTTTTTTAAAAAATTGTGCACATATCTATGGTGTATGGCTAGACAGAATAGATGCACAATATTTGTCTGATGGAAGTTTTTTATTCCATGTTTGAATAGATAGCTTCTAGCTTCTATAACTGTTGCCATGGAAGCTATCAAGGAATTCAAATGAAGAGCTATATGCTAAAAAAATTGTTTCTGGTGTTTTGCTTAAACCATTTATGAATCATAAATATTGTTTCAATGTTTTCTATTTTAGAATAATGACAGTTGAGCTGTTTGATCATATTCATTGGAAATTTTAATTTAAAAAAATAATTTTTCTCAGCATTATTTAATACCCACAGCATACTGAAAGCAGAGAGACAACCTCTAAGAGTAGATTTCAGCCTTTACAAAATGAAAATAAATCAGTGCACACTACAGACGACTGACAGGAAAATGAGGTCATCTACTGAATTTTTCATGTATTCAAGTCCAGGGAAATCTGAGATTTATATAAAGCAGTGAGCTCATTATTTGCATCAGAACTCAATAACAAGAAAATAAAATTACGTGGGGAAGAAATGTTATCCAAATGTCCAAAGTAGCATGATGGAGTTTGCTCTTTTTTGTGAGAGGGACTGTGAAGAATTCACATTGAAATTAAAAGGTGTTCTAGAGCCGGGGTCCCCAATCCCTGGTCCATGGACCGGTACCAGGCCGCGGCATGCTAGCAACTGGTCTGCACAAACAAGTAAAGCCCCATTTGTGGGATGCAGGCAGCACACAAAACCACGCGCTCTCCGGTCTGTGGAAAATCCTTTCTCCATGGAACCGGTGTTCAAATGTAAGCTTCCAACTATGCAACTGTTTCTAGCTTTTCAGCCTAAACAGTTTGTGTTTTGGTGACATTAAAAGGATGGGTCCTGAGGGAGATGAAAATGTCAACATTCTTATCCAGTTTTATTGGTGATGAGCTGCCTGCAGTTTTATTGGTGATGAGCTGCCTCTTGGCTGCCTGCAAATAACTGGACAAATAGGTTTCCTCTCTGCTGGAGATAAAAATGCTCAGACATGCAAAAGCTAACATTAAAAAGTACTCTTTCTGTAAGCTTGTTTTTGTAAAAAGGAGATTCAAAACAACGTTTTGTCTGAATTGGTGCAGACCAAAAGGACTTTCATAGAAAGGCTACATTATCTCTGAATAAAGCCTGAGCTTTTCCAAGAAACCTGACTTAAGGTCATCAAAAAAAAAGGACAATCAAAGCTATGGACCGCACCATCATGCCCCTTCATGGTGATCTGCACACAAAGCTTGCCTTACATTAGGCAGAATAATGACCAAGCTCAAAAAGTTAATATTTTAGGAAATATTCAAATATTCAAATTTGTTAAAAATTTCTTTTCAAAGAAACAAATGGTTAAATTCATTTGTTATATATCAACTGAGGTTTGAATGGTATAATTTACTTTTCTATCCAAGAAAGCATAATCTCTTGGGCAAGTTCTGAAAAATCCATATTATCTCCATTAAGTGCAGGTCAGCAAATAACAGCTGTGATTTGGCATGGATTTGGAAAGTTATAATGCTTCAGAATTTGAAGCCTTCTGCTCTGCATTGCAGATCTATTGGTTTGGGATGGGATGCTGAAGAATCTAGTTTTTTCCTAACATATTATTTAGGAATGGAAGTATTTTTATTTTTATTTTCTGCGCATCTTTTCACAACTATCAGATGCCACCCTAGTCAGCCTCCACATTTCCAGATTTTACATCATTGCTATAGGTGCAGGATTATCTTTAGTTCAATAAAATTCCACTGTTGTCTGTGATTCTGAGAATATTTTAAATAGCTAAGTTCTTGGGCGCTATGACAACGGCTGCAGCATAAGAGCATTGCACAGAATTACAGTCTGACAGCAGCGGAAGTGTGCGCAGAGAAGCTGGTTGCAGCTGATTGAGTTGAATAGGACTCCTTCTCTGGCTATGAGGGAATAGGAGTGCCTCTTTAATAGCTCTTAGCAACGCCCCTGCTTTGACCCTACTCGACTGTGAGGGAAATCAAATCAATACAACCTCCTCCGAACCACAATGCTTCCACAGCAGCAGGACCACGACCAGCAGAGCATCACAGCTGCCTTTGTCTCTTTTTCAATTTAATCAAGATTTCTCCCTTTGACTGGATTCAGTTTTTGGATTTAGTTCATTGCTGAAAAATCTTCACGTGCCTCACTGAAAGGATCTTCTAAATTGTTCTGTATGAATGCTTTTGATACTTTTGGCTTTGGTGGCTTGCTATTGTTCTTTAAAGAGAGAACTTTGAATTTGCTGATATTTGCAACATTAATTTGAAATATAATTAACAACTTCTAATTTGATGGTAATTGTATACAGAAATTTAAAATATGCACTGTAATAGCAAAAATTCAGACACTCTTATGATTGTGAGAGCTTGTTTTGAAATACATTTTTAAAGATGTTCTGATGTTCAGTTATCTTTATCTTTAGTAAGATGTTTAATAACAGTTGATAGGTAATTTATAGCTTTTAAAAGTTAATGTGTTTTCTTCTCCTTCCTTCCTAGAGATGGCCAATAGAGGACCAAGCTATGGCTTAAGCCGAGAAGTTCAAGAAAAGATTGAACAGAAATATGATCTAGAACTGGAAAGTCGTTTAGTGGATTGGATTATTGTACAATGTGGTGAAAATATAGAGCATCCCCCTCCTGGCAAACAACATTTTCAGAAATGGCTAATGGACGGAATAGTAAGTAATAACTTGATATTACATCTATAAATGTAACATTGTTGAATAATATCATTTGTTCCTAAATTTCTACCATTTCAAAAATATATCAAATAATCAATTAACTTTGGCACTGCATTCCTGACCTCATTATGTAGCATGTTCTATAAAATCAATGAATAACAAAGTAATGTTTCAGAGGCTACAAAGTATATTTGATTTAACTTAAGAGCAATTATTATACTGTATCCATCTGTAAACTGCTTTTCTCTAGACTCCAATAAAATAATTCAAACATTGAAGGTGATTGCTCTTATGACCAGAAGACAATATGAAAAACAGTGTACAGAGCTGTACAGAGACGGATGGAATAATGGTTATGTAATATGAGGAATATAAATTACAATTCTTTGACAGTTAATTACAGACCATTTACAACCCTGAGATTTTCCATGATAGTATTATCTTCCTTAAAAATGGGTTAGTTATGTGTATTTGTTTATAAAATGTCACAATTCTGTTCTTTTTTTTTCAAGGAATAAGCAATTCCAAGTCTTTAAGAGATAATTTATTCATTTACTGAAAGAGCAGCACAAAGGTGCTTTCATTTACATGGAAGACTTGGCAAAATTATTAAATGTAGTGATTGTGTTTTCATCGGCTTACTACTTGATACTACTTACACTTGAGCTCAGACTGTGTTTTGCTCTCCCACGTGACTGTCAATTGTTATATAATCTGAAGTGAATAATTTGATTTTGCCTGCTTCATTAATCCATGTATGCTTTATCTTTGGAAAGGGAAGCTTTGCCAAGCATTTTTAATGTATTTGGCTCAAATGCATCCATAATAAATGCTGTCAGTAGCATACATTTATGTTTGCATTATGTATTTCAATTGAGGAGCATGGAGCCAGGGGACCCTTTCTAAGTGGCATTAGAATATCTATGTTATAAACAGAGTAATATACACATACTGTGTTGCCTTTAGTTGGTGGAATTAATTGATTTTGTCTCTTTCAATTCTGCTTTTAATGGTCAATCTCCCAGCTGCTCTGCAAGTTAATAAACAATCTTCATCCCAAGGGAAAAGAACCTATTGCAAGGATCTCAGAATCAAAGATGGCTTTCAAACAAATGGAACAAATTTCTCAGTTCTTGAAAGCTGCAGAAATCTATGGAGTACGAACAACAGATATCTTCCAGACAGTAGATTTATGGGAAGGTATAGATTTATTTATATATGAGCATGTGTTGGTTTTTTTTACTGTAACACTGTTTAACCTGCTATTCATTATATATTTCTTTCCGGGGGAAATTCCCAAATGCCATTACAATTATTTCTAATTTGCACTGCCTTTAAGCATTGTTCCCTCCAGTAATGCCTTCTTTTCTCTTGAAATTTATATTGATGCAGGCCTTAATGAAATATTTTGTACTTATAGCCAAGTGAAAGATGTGAGGTTTTTTTACAGAAGCACATCAAAGCTAAGCAAGAAGAAATTATATTACAGCAGATATTTCAGCAAAATAACAAATTATCATTTTAAGGATGATGAAATGTAATTAGTAAACATAAACCAGTTCACATTTTCTATATTTAGCTTGGAACAAAGTTATCTAATTCTTAGCCTCTGTGTATGGAAAACGTGCACAGAATTTCAATAATGTACATATTAGGACAAAGTCCAAACAGAAATTAATTATATTAGGGGAACTCATTACCAAAATTAATACATTAAGAAAGATACATATAGAAAGAGTGTATCAGGAGAAATATACAGCTATTTGCTAAAATACTTGTGAAATTTAGTTGGAGAAAAATCATGATGGGGATATTCATAGTATGGGATAGATCCAGTTTCAGATTGGGAAAATGAACTTGAGAAGTTCACTCTAGTAGTATTAGTAGTATATGAAATTAATCATTCCATAAACAATAACCACTCTCCTGAATGAAAGAAAACTCAGGGCAAATAGGTCTGAAACCTGATGATAATAATATTGTCAGAATAGTTTAAACTGAGTTTATATTGGGTCAAGCCTCAAATTTGTATGTTGTCATTTCACCTCTGGAAATGGACCTTATGCAAGTAGTATCTTTATAATTTATGCAAATTCTACAAAAAGATGTTTTGAAACACAGCAGAGCAGGTAGAAGACAACTCTTTTTAAGTTGAAAAAGCAGATTAATCTTTTACCAAACTCTCAAGAATGTTTTAGAAGCTGTTCCTGTCTATGCCAATGAGAATGTACCATATATGCACAGTCATTGCTTCACATTTTTCTCAGTAAAAAAAGTGAACTAACTTTATATGCCTCCTTTTTTATTATACTCTGGAATAAAGAACATTCCTTATATGTCTTTTAATATAAGGAAAGACTTGGTTTAATGGAAGTAATATCTACTCTGATAACGTCCAGTACCTAAATTCAGGCCTTTTTTCAACAATTCTCTTCCTAGTATTAGAAGAATCCATATAATTAATAATATTGTCCTTGTGAATTTGATATTTCCTTATATGTATCCTTGCGATTGATCACTGTGTCAGAAAGAAAATGGGAAAAGACAAAAAGTTCAACAAAGAGCAAAAGGAGCCATCTTGGCCATGAGGGGGGGGGGGGAATCTAAACTCCTTATTGAAGCAACACATTTTTTAGGCCAGCTGAAGGTTTGCATGAGAATTCATCAGGTAAGATGGTTAAAAAAATCACCTTCTGGGGACAGAGAGAGGAGAAAAAGAAACATAACTACCAAATGGAACTGCTTTTATATGTCTGTGCATATTCCAATGTTCAATTTGTTATTTGATGTATAATGTTTCTCTTTCTCTTTCTTGGATTTATTTTACTTTTTGAGAAATTGTGGAAAGTTTGAAAGTATGCTAGTTTTGGAAATCTTCAGTTGGTCTAACAAAATGTTGCCTTCACCAAAATTCAGTTTATGAACAAAATATTTGATCCATTATTTATTGCTATTTGATCCATTATGTATTCTACACAGGACAACTGTGTGTATCTTCTAGAAGAAAAGACAGTTTAAAATCTTTTTCACACATGGCATTTTTCTCACGTGGAAATAATACCTTTATGAGTAGTCTTTGGAAGTCATGTATATGAATCAAAATAAATTCTTGCACTCTCCATTTAAAACAATTGTCCATTCTTATTATATTTGTTTTTCCTCTCCTCTTCCCATTTCCTAGTCTTGCGCAGCAACTGTAGGAGTTTTGCTTTCCCTTTTTTATTTATTTTGTGCTTTAAATCAAATTATGAGCCTGAAGGCTTGCCTAACCAATTTACAGGGTTTTTTGTATCTAAAGAACATTTTTTAGATGTGAATTGATAATGATAGCCAGGAAGCAATGAGAGAGCTCCTGCTAAAAGCCCTGCAGGATGTGGCTACTGGCTCTGAGGAAAAAAGGACAAAGCAATCTTTGCTTTCTGTTACTAATCATGTCTCAGATGTTTCCAAGAAAAGGTTAGGCAGGATAAGAGCCAGTAGTCCCCATATCAAAATCTGTCAAGTAATATAGAGAGAAGATTCTGGATTTTGACCAAGAAAAATGATCTTTACAATTCAAACGGCATCCCTTTGAAGCTTGGATCAGAAAGCTTGAAGCCTTCCCAATTCCAGTAATGTCCAGTTATTTGCAGCTGTATTCCCAGAAGAGGAATTCTGGGAACTATACTGCCCTCACAGCTGGAGGACACCAGGTTGGAGAAGGTTTATGTATACTATGACCCTGGGTTACACTGAGATTACCTACTTGGATAGCCATTTTCAGACCTCATAGTTTAGATCTGTATTATGCTAAGGTTTGGAACAGGAACAGAGAAACCCAAGCTCTAGCAACATTGATTAGAATATCTGTGTTGTTGTGAAGGGAAAAATGATTAGTATGATTAAGCACATAGCAAATAAAAATACTAAAATTCTAATACTAGGTAGTGAGCAAAAATTGCCAAAAATGTTCCTCTGATATGTTTTTCAATGGTGCAAATAATAAATAATTAAATGTGGATGACAGGGATAAGAGCAGAACAGTAGGTATCTCAATAATCCTTCATGCTCATTAAGACACCAAACTTGTCCCCAAATTGGGAAGCAGGATTTTGTATTGGGACTGTCATGAAAACAATTCTTGATTATCAAGTCATAGATGACTTCTTGTGAATTACTAAAACAGTTATACATAGATCAGCAAGCCCTAAAATTAAAGAAGGTATATGTGTGTGTGAAGGAAACTAGCATACAAAATTGAATTATTATGTAATACCTTATAAATATTATTTCTACATTAAAAAAATAAAACCTTTAGTTTGCGATGGGACTGCGTAGACCCTTGAGAGCCCCTCTGGCCAGTAATAATCCAATGTTAAATGGCCATCTTAGAATTCTCCTCCTTCTGTTGTTTAGTTGTTATTATTCTATAATTTTGAAATTTTTAACCCAATTTAATTTTTCATTTCTAATTTTTATACGTTGTTTTATTTATTGGTTATATTATATTGTACACTACCCAGAGCCACTCTTTACGGGAATCAGCAGTTTAGAAATATGAAAAATAAATAAATCTCATAAAAAGAGATGCAACAGAGGTACTAGAAGTAGTTCATCAAACTAACAAATTAAGTATTTGACCAGAATATCTAATAGTCTATCATTATCTTTATTAATAGAACTTTAAAAGATACCATATTTCATTGTGTGCATCATTTAATACATCTTATTTATATTTTATGTGTTCCATAGGTGTTATATGCCATACTGCTACTTACTCATCTTATTTCAAAATTATTTATTTTAGGGCATTCCAATTAAAGATGTAAACATATTCATTTTTAAATTGAAAGAAATCGTAATATTGTGAAATATTAACGAGGTTTCATTTTCTGACCCAAAGACTTGTTTAAGAGAGTTCTCTTAAATATTGAACCCTTTGAGATTTCATTTCCAAGGTTATCATAAGAGCAGCAGAATAGATGTGAAAGAAATATTTGTGATTCTCCATTTCCTTCATCTAATGCTTATTGTAAAAAACTAGTATTTAATTTAAAAAAAATCTTTTCCTTCCAATGCAAGCTGGACTAATTACTTCTCTTTTTAAACATCCCACAACCTATGAACATGGCATAAGACCAAGAACCTGTACAACAATGTTAACCATTTCCTTGCCCTTAGCTAAACACTTCTGCTTCAGTCTTTCCATTGTTAGAATATCACATTATCATAAAACTCTAATCTCAGATTTCCTTTTTCAAAACTGGAGTCTTTGTTTTGACTATGACTTAAATGTTGCCTGAGATCTATGCTCCTGGGGTCAGCATCTTTCAATAGATTGAAAGTTACTTTAAAAGTTAATGGGAACAAAAAGGGGGAAAGATGGCTTCCAAATCCTCTCATTGCCTTGTGAATGTTATCCTTGCATTTTTACTTCACCTATGCAACCCTCAATAGCTACAAACAATAATTTAAAAATGTGGCTTTTAAAAACAATTTTTAAAAGATGATATTGTCATGGAATTAACAGATGTTCCTTATTACAATGAGCCAAGGCTCTATGACTCACAATCTCCCTTTAATGCTAACTTTTCTGTGGCCTTAGTCAATTTAGTCACTCTGTCTTTGTTAAGTAAAGATAGTAGCATTAATTTATGCAGGTGCTTATGAACAAAATAAGGATTGCTCTGAAAACAGTGCTGGGTAACTTTTGCAATGATGTTACTGCTAGAGTAGGCCATGAGAACTTAACATCTACAGATTCTTTTCTATGACTTTTCATGTTGTCTTGTCACCTAGGGTTTGATAGAAGGTGTAGCTTTGTGAGTGTAGAGGGAGATTTAACTCATTAGTGTTCAGTATTTGGCTTCCAAGGTCTGACATTAGCTTTACATATCTAAAGCTTCCTTCAGCAATTCTCTGAGTGTAAATTGTCAATGCAAAGAGTGGTGGTGATGGGAATGAAAATGCTAATAGTGCTCCAGTCCATCATATTGTCTTCTATTTGCAAAGGTTGACTTATCTGTAAAGGAAAACTTCCTGCATCTGTAAAGATGCTTCACATAATTTAAATCTCTGGAATTATAAAATGATCTTCTATATCAGTGTTTCTGATCTGGACATCCTCCAGGTGTGTGGACTTCCAAAACTCCCTAGCTAGCAAGCATGAGAAGCCCTATACAGACAGACTATTAGGCACATGAAGTTGACAAGAATGATAATAGAGGAGGCAGATAATAGAGGAGGCAGAACCAGCACTCTTTTGCTTCTATCCTGTGCAACACCCCACCCATACACACATATATGCTCACATTTGTGGGGGGGGGATTTGAAGAAGTTTTAAAAGAACTAGCAAGGGACTGAAAGAAAAACAAAGTGCTTGACATAAGAAGAGGCAAGCTAGAATGAGCAAAACCCTGAGATATCTATGATAGAGGAAGGCCAATGAGTTATATTTAATAATAGTAAAGTTGGAAGGGACCTTTTATATTGACATAGATGAAAAACAGCCTGAACATGAGTGGGCTGTATTCCATCATAATAGCATGTTTTAGAGTCTATAAGCAGCTTATGCTGGTGAAATTTTCAGCTAACCATTGATTTATTTCTGGGTGGCATATTTTACTTCATTTGTTGGTAATTAGAATAGAAAAAAACCCTAAGTCCAGCTCCCAAAAGATGCTTTCAAATTTGTTCTCTACAAAAATTTGCAAACCTTATTAGAAAGACTTACAGTTTAATGAAAAGTGTAGCCTCTAGTACAGATTAGTCTCATAGAAATCAAACATCTGATCAGGCTTCCTAAAGCTCTAAAACTTGTTATAGTTATACACTGATAGTCATGCAGCAGTTTGCAAGCTAAAGGTAGGAAGAGTTCTGTCAAGGAAAATTCCCTTGTGACCAGAATAAAAACAGAAAGCAGTTTGCAAGCTAAAGGTAGGAAGCGTTATGTCAAGGAAAATTCCCTTGTGACCAGAATAAAAACAGAAAACATAATGTAATAATAAAAAGCTCTGGGGATTTTGAGGTTAAACAGGTGTCTACGTAATTCTGTTGAAGTACCATCAAACAATTTATCAATAACAAATGAATAATTCTTTTTAGGAAAAGACATGGCTGCCGTGCAAAGGACTCTAATGGCTTTAGGCAGTGAAGCTGTTACAAGGGACGATGGATGTTACAAAGGGGATCCCGCCTGGTTTCACAAGTAAGAATGTGTTTGTTGTTTCCATTTTCAGACATAGACTAAATGTGCAGTTTTAATGAAAAACAAATCCTAGACAGAAGAAAAATATACTTTTAAAAGCAAGACACCTTAACTTCCGCCTTTTTCAGCTGTCAATTAAAGAGCTAATGACCTCTTTAGAATAGATATTCAAAAATGTTCCATTTATAATAAGTGAATTAGGTTGATGCAGAATAGTCTAACCAGGAGTGCAAACATTCCTTCACTTATTGACCCAGAGCTATTGAAAATGAAAAGCATAGAATGCCACTTTTTCCAGACAGGAAATACGTAAATCTTTAGTATAAATTCTAAATGCATGCATGGTTTTAAAAAGGGCAAAAGTATCCCAAATCTTTCTCTATTCCTAGTCTGTAATTTTTTTTAAAAAGGTAAAGGAATCCCTGTAGATTTGATTCTGCTAGTCATTGCTGACTATAGGGGGCAGTGCTCATCTCTGTTTCAAGACCATTGAGCCAGCACTGTCCAAAGACATCTCTGTGGTTATGTGACCAGCATGACATTACAGAGTGCTATTATCTTCCCACCAAAGAGGTACCTATTTATCTATTCGGATGCTTCAAATTGCTAGATTGGCAGGAGCTGGGGTGAGAACAGAAGCTCACCCCATCACGTGGTGCTTAGGTCTCAAACCTGGGCTGCCGGCTTTCCAGTTGACAAGTCCTGTGTCTTTACTGCTGAGCAATTGCACTCCCTCAAGTATGTGATATGGCCCCATATATTTTGCCTCTTCCCTGACAGTGCAGATCTCAGCCCTTTGATCTCCAAAACATTAGGTGAGCCCCCAGCTACTCAATACTTGCCCAGCTCAGTATATAATTTGTATATGAAGAAGTCTTCTCTTGTTCATACAGCCAGTGGATCAGGTGGTATGTCTTGCTTAAAATATTTGAGTCATTCTTCAAGCAATGACTCAGATATCTATAACAACAATTGTCCAAGCATTCACAGAAATATGAAACATAATTTGAAATTCATTACTATCTGCTGAGACAGTTCTGAAGCTATACTTTCTCAGAATTTTGCTCTCCTTCATGATTGTTGATAAATGAACATATATCTGAGAAAGGTGCCTACCAGTTCTGAAACAATTTTCCCAAACTGATATTTGATACATTTTGTAACATAAGCCTCTGGAAAAAAAAGTGCTTAATCTTATATGCTCTTGTTTTAATAAAGCAGAACATCTACTTAAGTGTTTTTCTGGATGGTGGCCAGATAACTTAAAACCAACACTACCAAGACAGTGGCTTACTAATTTGCTATTTGATAACAATATTTCTACCCTTTTTCAAATGTGGCTTATCCATTTATAGCAAAATGCGAGGTTGATTTAGTTTTCTGATATTGAGATGTTGATTGAGATTACTCAAATGCAGGAGTGAGTAGTATCCATCTATTTTAAATCCTTATTTGATAATAACTTTGATTTTTTTATTGTTTTGAATGATGCCATCCCCCCCCTTCTAAGAGGGAACTGTATCAATTGTTGGATGGGGGTGAACACTTTCCCTAAATGTCACTGTAATTAATGTTAATTTCAATCTGCTGTATTGGCCAAGATGTTTTCTATCTGCTTGTGTTTAATATTTTTTGAAGGAAAAGAAATGCAAAGTAATGCATTTTTTTCAGAGTCCTAACCATTCCCTTTTTCACAGTGGCTAAATATGTTCAGGGAATAAAGTAGAATTTTAGAAAGTCTTTACATGTAAGATATTCATACTTCAAGCCTCTAATCCCTCAAAGAGAATCCTAAGGTCCTTGGGACTGGCTGGCTTACATTATCTTATGACAAAGACACACCTACAGCTTTAGAACGGGGAATTCAGTGTTAGAAACCTCTTCTTGTCTTCCAAATGGCCAATACAGCTCATGTTCTCAAAAATCAGGGCAATACTAACCTTATACTATAGAAAAACATAGGGGCTGTGGCATTCAATCTGATAAATATTTGAGAATTTAAAATAGAACAAACATGTCACTTTTAAAAAAGAATCATTTTCACAGGAAAGCACAGAAGAACCAGCGAGGATTTTCTGAAGAGCAGCTTCGCCAAGGACAGAATGTCATCGGTCTTCAAATGGGAAGTAACAAGGGAGCATCCCAGTCAGGGATGACAGGATACGGAATGCCAAGACAGATCATATAGTTTAAACCACCTTTAAACTCTCACTTACCCACTTGGTAGCATGGCCTGACTGAAAAACACATAGCTAGTTAATGTTCATGCTGAGATCTGCTTCTAGGTTTTCTCTCTAAGATTATGTGTGTGTGTATGCATATGTATACACGCACACACATACACACAGTCTTTCAACTGAAACTGTGGATCTGTGTGTTTGTTGCGTGTTAGTTCACATAGCACGCTGACACCTATATGATGTTCATTTTTGAACTATGCAAAGACTATTTTTCTGTATTTATTTGCAATTTGTTATTTTCTGTACTCTTGTCTTATTGAACTGCCTATAACTTCTCAGTCCTTTTCTTCTCTACTCTATCCAACTTTCATCTTCTAAAAATAAAAATAAAATGGGATAAATAACTGCAAAGATTTAAGCTGGATATGTCTTTTGCAGCATCTCTGTGCTCTGAAATAAATGTTGTAAGAGGAGAGTGAATATGATTTACAATACTTTATAGAAACTATTGAGTTTATAGTGATCCTTGTCAAGGATATATGCAGACATACACACATAGAAAGACATGATGTTTAGCTGATCAAATTTGATTGGGCAAAAGGTATCCCAAATCAGAATAAGAATATAACCTAAGAGGCAGGATCCCCAGTCCAAGAAAAGTCATTCCAGAAAAATCAGTAACATCAGAGGAAGAATTTGGATAATCAAAGCAGGAGATTGGTGGGAAGTATGATGTTTACTGGTTCCAGTTGTATTCTGCCTTCAACTCTCGAAAGACAGTCTTTCATATGTAGATAATGGCCTGATCTATTATAAGGTTTTTTTTAACAAAAAATCCCTTTAAATTTTGCTGATTTATGCTTACCCCCTCTACCATACTTTCTTCTGAATACACTTACCAAATATTTAGCTTAATCAAATAATATATGATTTGGTTATCAATAGCCATTTGGTATCTGCTCACCAATTACCTATACATATAAAACATGACATTGACGTTGAAAGCAAAACACTTCATTTCAATCATAAGCATCTCAACCATTATGGCTAAGGGACACTTATCCTACTGTTAGTCTTCAATCCAAGGGATCAGGTACCTTTCACTTAAAGATGGAGGAAAGTTAAAATGAATAGGATTTTTGCATAATTTACTCTATATTATTTTGCCATTGAATTCACATGTTATAGGATTATTACTATCCACCAAAAGGACTAGCACCTGCCCCCTCCCCTTACTAAACTAAAATCCACAGCATTTTAAAATCAGGATCAGGCTGATTTACTCAAGGCTTTTAGATGGAATAGGCTTCTTAAGTTCTTCATTGGCTCTCAAACCCTTTTCTATACCCTCTGGTTCTCTTCTTGTATCACAAATGCCAAACTTAACTCAGAGGTGGCTGCTATATGGGGGATGGAGAAACAAATTGTAATATACAATCCCCAAATGTTTAACATAGTAGTTCAAGAAAGAAGCACACGTACATGTGAAAAATACAGAAAATCCTCTCTCTATTTGTATTTGACAAGACTATATCTATTCTGTGTAATTTTCTATTCTCTGTTATCCTTTGTCGAAAATAATAACTGCATACAATGACATTTGACTACTCTTGGCTTAAATACATTTGGGTTTCTGCTCAATAAAACCTGCATCGACATTATGATTAACATAAAGGGTTAACTTTTGTAAGAGAAGTCAGTCCTGACTATTGGGGGTAGAGGAGTTCAGAATGCTTTACTATGATTATCTCATTTTATGCTTCACTTTTGTGATTGTTTAAGTTGAGAATACTTGTCTTATTAACTTACCTTCTGTAGCGGTTTCACATTGATGCACAGGTACTCTCATTGTTTCCCCTGGAACTTGAAAGGATGATGAAGACAGAAATCTCCATTCCAGCGGTACCTTTTTCCCAGCCAAGTTAAGGTATGGGATGTGTTTTGCTTTTTGCATCAAGAGTATGACTATTATGGCAACAGGATCAAGACATTTACACCTGCTTCTAATTATTTGTGGTTGTAGGATAATATCACCTTCTTTTTCACAACAGGCAGGAAATATAATAAACAGGAATTCAAGATATACAGTTAGCCAGTGCACCCCTTGAATAGGTGCTCAGGGATACAATATTAGATTGGCATATCATTAGCAAATTTGATTGATGCTTGATGATAGATTGTTGACGAGTGACAAAAATAACATTAAAATTCTTCATTCAGAGCCTTGTTATACTTTATCACTCAAAATAATGTTGAAAGAAATTATGTAAATGAATCCAGAAATCTTATCCATCTGTCAATCCATCACTGTGAGATTTTGCTGAAAACTGAATCCAACGGGAGCAAATTTGATGTGGGAGAGAAGCTGGCAAAAGAAATTGTGTCCAAATGTGTACCAGATCTGGCTGGCAACTCTGGAAAAATATTTTATTATTATCATCACCATCATCACCACCACCACCATCACTAATAACAACATCCTCATCATACATAAAATAACCCCTTTCAGTGCAACAGTATGATAGAGCTAGACAACACCTCAAATTCTGTTAATCTCTCTAATCTTAGTCCTCATCCCTTGCTCCTCCTGGCTATGTGACTCAAGAGCTAAGCCTATGCAATTTATCATATGCTCTTCAGTACATACATATGTTGAAATATGGATGGAGTGCAGAAACACACAGAGAAGCGTAATATATTACATGTACCTCCTGTGGCCACTGCTGGTTGAGAAGTTGAAAATAATCCAAAAGCCATACTTTGAAGCTGGATTTAATTCCATGCACATTTCTCTTCCCTTCTCAGAGCTTAACCCTAACGCTAACCCTAACGGCTCAGTATAACTTATTCACATCAGTTATCAAATTTAATATAGTTAACTAATCTGTGGAAATACTGTATAAGCAGCTCTCTGATAAACTGTTCACTAAGACGAAACATTTGCCTTTTGTTTACCTTTGTCAATGGAGTTCAAAATAGTTAGAAATACCTAAACATACTCGACAAGTATTATCAGTCTTATTTTATATGCCACAGTCTTTGTCTTAAAGCAGAGCAAAAAAGATACTCTCTCACTTCTCCCAGGAAGAAGCTTTTTAGCTTGTACTCATAGATCCCGTTTTTCATCTGAGTAAACTAAGTAAAGAATTTCTCAAACTGGACTCAGCTCCTGGAGACAACTTGGACTGTTTTATGTATTTTTCTTAGCCAGATGGAGCACTTTATCATTGCCTTCTGTGATTTTACTTTTTTTTTTTAGTAATAACTATTTTTTAAACAGGTGGACACTAGCTTTGCTTTATTTTTCCCTCCAATATCAAAGATAGAGATCTGATTTCAGAGGAAGAAAACTGACATTCATTTCTCCTTCTTGCCATTTTATCAGATTTTGCATTGAGTTAAATAACTTTGATGGTGGAATGTTTCAAGTTGTATTTTGGATTACACTGTGTGTTTAAATTCTATTAGATTATTCTTGTCTATTTAATTAGATAGCACATTTTAGGTATGGCCAACCAGAGTTTTGACTGAGCATTTGTAATTTCCAATAAATATTCCCTTAGAAGAGACTGCGGTGAACAAATTGTTAAAAGCTTATCATTCCCATTGTTTAAAATGCCAATTATTGGCCTTTTAAAATTTTTATCCAATGTAAGCCCATAATAGAGAGAAAGGTGATCTAAATTTATTTATTTTTGTACTTCTGAAAATAAGCACCTCTTAAATATGTTCTGACTTTATTAGTTGCATAATTTTAAAGGCTTATAATGCCAACAATGCGAGAATACAATAACTGAAAAGTCCAATTTATAGCAGCCTGATGTGTGTATGACAATGAGTACGCTGGATGAAGTTTTGAAATATATGACAAATATGAGATTTTTATTTTACCAAATATTTTGCAAATCTAGCAGAGTGGACAATTTCAGTATTCTGTGTTTCTCCATAAAAAGGATTTTTCACTACTACAGATTGTACCTCACAAATATAAGAATTGAAACATAAAGGAAGTTTTGAAACTATTTTAAAACTGCTACTGCATAGTTTATTAGCAAATGGGACAGTTTTACTTAGAAAATTATTTCACCCATTCTTCCAAATGTATGGATATAGTAATGTTTATGATTAGACATATGGTTTGTGTCCTCACCACAATACGGTTGTTGGGGACAATAATCTTGAACAACCTCTATGAATGCATCATCTGTGACCTTCAGTAATGTTATAAAATAAAGATCTGATCCTATGTTCAGGCAGCAGAAGTAATAGATATAGTTGTGATTAATTTAATGGTATGATATGACCTTTGTTTCTAATTAGATTTGTCTGGCAGGACTCCTTTGCTGGCAACATCTTCCAGATGTTCCTGTAATTTATTCATTCTAATGGAAAGGATAGTAGCAGAAAAAGGATTATGTTTTGTAGTTGAGGCCTGTTATATAGCACACTCTTTCTTGGCTGAATGTTTTCTGTGTAAGTTGAACTCTTGGTGCATATTTCATAAACAACATGGGTGCATTGGTTGACAATTAGAAAAGCTGTCAGGCTTAATTTAAAAGTTACACTACTGAAAAGCCTGCCATAATGTATTGTTCATGAAAGATATCGGTTTAAAATAAAATTCTAGAATAAGCATAGAATATTTGGGCTATAGGCATATAGCTATCCAATATATGGTGGGCAAGGCTATAGCTTTCTATATTAATTGCTGGCATCTAAACAGAAGGAGTCTGGAGGCAACTTTTACAACTAACAAATTTTATTAAAAGGCATTCATTTTCATCAGAGCATTCTATGACTCTGATGAACTGAACTGCAGTTCATAAAAGCTTATATCTTTCAATAAAATTAGTTTAAAAAGGTGCTACCTGATTCCTTCTGATGTTTTGCCATAATAGACGAACACAATTCTCCTATAACTGCTGACATCCAGTGGTTTCTGTATTTTTGCATCATAGATAAGGTATTGGTATTCTCTGACTTATGACCACAAATGACTACTTCACTTCTCTTACAGATTGTGAAAATTAAGAAATATAAGTAGTATGATAAAGGGGCTACCAGGCAGCCAACTTTAATGCTTTCACTTGTTAAAGTATATAATTTAGAATGAAAGGGTACAAAGGATGTGAAAGATTAAAGAAAAGGATAAAAGATTGCAATGATTTGTGAAGACAAAGAAAAATTACTAGCAGTGAATTTCTCAAAACAATGCAAGAATCTGGAAGAATGCCATAATCATAAATATATTTATAACATAAATATAATTAGAAATAACCAAACCAAAATTTTCAGCCTGCCTCTAAGAATTCATTGAGTTATAATAGCAATCCTGTCTGATCAAATGAAGG